CTATGCTAAAGGAAGTTCTTGGCTAAGGGAGTTTGGCCATCTCAATAAATGACCATCATTTATGCAGTTTGCTCATTTCCCTGCAATGCTTTTGCATGTTCAATAAACATTGATATGAGTGAAAGGATATGAAATCTCTACCAACAAAGTAGAAAGAAAAAATAACACACTAATTTAAAATATACTTCAGCTACCTGTCATGAGCAAATTAAAAAAAGCCTTTAATGGAAAGAAGTGTAGTACTTGGCAATATTGTTACTTGCTTCTATGGATGATTCAGCTTATTCGAGTCTTAAAAAGGGTTCAGATATCTTTGTATCTTCATATCTAAATGCTGTGGTTTTCCTGTGGGATAAGGTGAATTATTTCCATTTACTAACTTTAGAAACAAACGATAGGATATTTCTGTATTAAATTTTAGCTTTCGGTATCTAAAATAGCATCTTTGGCCGTAGCCTGACCTCATATTTTGTTTCTGTTTAATTTATATTAATCCTGAGTCATCATTTGCAAAATTTTGTGCACGGATATTTCTTGTGAATAACTGAAGTGAATCAAACCCAGGCATTGTATTTGACTTCTTTAGGGCTGAAAACGGGGAGAAAAAGGTTAAGAAGTTCTGCCATTTTACCAGAGATTGCTCTTCAAGGCTGACTGCAGGAGACTTTCAATTGCTTACTCATGCAAGATTTTATCAGTAAACTGACAGCTTCAACCGTCTCTGTTTACAGGTTCTTGTTGTTCAACATCGATAAACTCACTGATTGGATCTATGCAGTTTTAAAGACGGCCACACGGCCAAGGCCCTGACTGCAACTGCAGGGAATGCCTCTGAGAAATTGAGATCAAAGACTGAAAACTTGCACTCTTAAGTGCAGATTCATTCACATTCTTTATGACTCTTTAGGGAAGCATAGCAGTGGACAGTCGTATCACTGCTGTGCACTTACAGTGGGTGTTATTTGTTAAGAAAATATATGTCAATTAGTCCAGCAAAGGGATTGCCATAATGGCGGAGTAGAAGGACACATAGCTCACCCTTTCCCATGAACACACCAAAAATTATATATAAATACAGAACAATTCGCACAGAGTAACTCCCTAACTTTGGCATAATGTCTCTTACTTTGGAAATACAAGAAAAGCTTCACAAAACCAGGTCGGTGGGGAGCGAAGGGAAGAAAGCAAATGGAAATTGGTGCATGATGTGTCCCACAGAGAGAGAGCAGCATAGAAGGAAAAGCGCGCTCACCCTGGGAAGCCCCCTCTCCAGCAGCGAGATCCACGGGGACAGAAAGGGAGCTTCAGAGGCTTAGCGGAGACAGCAGCAGCAGCTTGGCAGACAGAACTGAGAGAAAGCAGCGGAGAGGGTCACTGTGATCCCCAGCCGGAGACGCACGCCGGTGGGGACAGGCTGGGCTGGGCTGCTGGAGCTCGGGCTTCCATGGACGAGCCTGGGGAGACGACTGGGGTTGACTGCACAGAGGCAGCCTCAGGAGGCTGGAGTGTGGTGTGGGCTGTGGCTCGAAGAGAGTGCAGATCAGTCTGGGTCCCTCCATAGAAAGCGCCATTGCATTTGGGACGAGGGGTGCATTGCAGCCTGGCCATGGCTGCCATTTCCACTAACGCAGCGGGTGTTGGCTCTGCACCAGTGTTGGTGAGCATTATTGTGAGAAGAGAGATGGGGTTCAGTCACAGCCGTCTTCTCCGCTTCCTCTGGAGGGACACCATTGCTGGTGCTTGGCTCCTGGGCAGAGGAGGGGCTGAAACATGAACCCCTGCTCAGGCCCTGCAACATCACAGGTGGGACTGATGTGATTCTACTCCCAGGCAGGGGTGGTGGATTTGCTCTCTTGGTGCCTTTGTGGACCTGTGCCTCTAAGACAAATGAGCGGAGATCTGGTGCACATTGGGGTGGGTTTGGCATCAACAGCAGGTCTGTGTACCCTGCTTTTGATTTGTGGTTACCCTATTTTTTAAGTATGCTAACCCATTACTGTATCTATTTGCTTTAGAATAGTAGTCATATAGGCTGTAACACATCCTACAAAGAATGCAAAGAAAATTTACATTTGATTTCACTGGGGAATTCTATCAAACATACAAGGAAGAACTCATACTGATCCTTCTCAAACTCTTCCAAAAGACTGAAGAGGAGGGAATACCCCCAAAAGACCGAAGAGGAAGGAATACTCCCAAACTCATTCTACAAAGTCACCATCACTCTGATACCAAAACCAGGCAAAGACACTACCGAAAAAGAAAATTATAGGCCAATATTGTTGATGAACATAGATGCAAAAATCCTCCACAAAATATTAGCCAACAGACTCCAACAGCACATAAAAAAGGTCATACACCATGATCAAGGGGGATTCATCCCAGGGATGGTTCAAAATACACAAATCCATAAATGTGATACACCACATCAACAAAAGAAAGGACAAAAATCACATGATCATCTCAGTAGATGCAGAAAAAGATCTGATAAAATTCAAAACTCATTTATGATAAAAACTCTTACCTAAGTGGGCATAGAAGGAACTTATCTCAACATAATGAAAGCTATTTATGACAAACCCACAGCCAGCATAATACTCAACAGTGAAAAGTTGAAAGCCTTCCCCCTAAAATCTGGAACAAGGCAAGAATGCCCACACTCATTACTTCTATTCAACAGAGTATTGGCAGTCCTGGCCACAGCAATCAGACAAGAAAAAGAAATAAAAGGAATCCAAATTCAAAGAAAAGTAAAATTGTCACTAAATGTGGATTACATGGTATTTTATATAGAAAACCCTAAAGGCTCCACACAAAAACTAGTAAAGCTGATAAAACAATTTGGAAAGATAGCAGGATACAAGATTAACATAGACAAATCAGTTGCATTTCTTTACACTAACAATGAAATATCAGAAAAGGAAAGTAAAGAAACAATCTCTTTTAATATCTCATCAAAAACACCAAAATACTTAGGAATAAATCTGACCAAGGAGGTGAAAGACTTATATCACGAGAACTATAAAACATTAATTAAGGAAATTAAAGATAACTCAAAGAAATAGAAAGATATCTCATGCTTTTGGATTGGCGGAATTAATATTGTTAAAATGGCCACACAATCAAAATCAATCATTAAAAAGTCCATGAATGATAAATGCTGGAGAGGGTGTGGAGAAAAGGGAACCCTCCTACACTGCTGGTGGGAATGTAGTTTGGTGCAGATATTATGGAAAACAGTATGGAGATTCCTTAAAAAACTAAAACTAGACTTACTGTATGATCCAGCAATCCCACTCCTGGGCATATATCTGGAAAGAACTCTAATTCAAAAAGCTACATGCACCCCAATGTTCACAGCAGCACTATATACAATAGCCAAGACATGGAAGCACCCTAAGTGTCCATCAACAGATGACTGGATAAAGAACCTGTGGTATATTTATACAATGAATACTACTCAGCCACAAAAAGAATGAAAGAATGTCATTTGCAGCAACATGGATGGACCTGGAGATTGTCATTCTAAGTGAAGTAAGCCAGAAAGAAAAAAAAAGAATACTATATGATATCACTCATATGTGGAATCTAAAAACAATAAAAAATAAAGGCACAAATGAAGTTATTTATAAAACAGAAACAGACTCACAGACAGAAAAAAATAAACTTACGGTTACTAGGGGGAAAGGAGGTGGGAATGAATAAATCAGGAGTTTGTAGCTATATATACTACTATATATAAAATAGATAAGGAACAGGTTTCTTCTGTATAGCACAAGGAACTATATTCAGTATTTTGTAGTAACCTGTAATGGAAAAGAATATGAAAACAAATACATGTATGTATACATATATGACTGAAACATTATGCTGTGCACCAGAAATGGAGACAACATTGTAAACTGACTTTACTTCAATAATAATAATAAAAAAAAAACTAAAAAAAAAAGGCCAGCAAAAATAATAAACAAAAAAGAGGAAAATTGGATTGGATTGTTTCAAAGTATCCCTTTATTTGTATTTCAGTCAGTCCTCCATTCAACCATATGTTAGTTGATTATTGCCCCTGACTATAACTGACCTACCTTCTGTCTCTATTGTCCTAGCTCTTCTAAACATTTCATATAAATGGAATAATCCAGTATGTGGCTTTTTGTGTCTGACTTCTTTCACTTGGCATAATCAGCACTTCATTCTTTTTTATGGCCAAATAATATTGTATTCTATGGTATGCCGTATTTTATTTACCCAATTATTTGTTGATAAACTTTGGCTTCTTTCCATTATTCATGGGGCTATCATGAATAATGCTGCTGTGAATATTTGTGTACAAATTTTTAGACATAATTTAAGAATTTTCTTGGGCATATTCCTAACAGTGGAATTGCTGGATCATGTGATAATTCTATTTAACTTTTTGAAGAACTAGCTTACAAAGTGGCTTCATTATTTTACGTTCCCCCCCCCCGACTCCAAGCAATGTATGAAGGTTTCAGTTTCTTCACATTCTTTCCTGTTATTGCTTATCTTTTTTTTTTTTTTTTACTTAGGGGAATGCATTAATACTTATTTTGTGACAATGAAATATGTGTTGAGATTTTAAAAAACTACACTGAATCAACTTGCATTGCTTTTTCCTCCAATTAAGTGTTGAACGTGTAAAACAGGCATTTACTGTACAAGCTACTTTGGATAGCTGATTTTTCCACGTGAAATGATTATTAGTTCCTACTGAGTTTATAGTTTGAGAAAGACAGTGTTAGCACTGAACTTCAGCAAAAGGCAGCTTTCTGACAATCTCCCCATTCTATCCTGTTTAGAACCACATTTTTATTCCATGTGATTTATTTACTTACATACCTGAGCTCCTGCTTTTGAAATTGAACATGTGAACTAAATTATTTGAGACTATGGATAACTCTTTCCACTTCTGAATCTTGTAGTTATCACTCCTATCTATGGGGGACCAATATTCACCCAACCAAAAGATGAAAATGCTGCATTTTGGAATGGACGTGGTTTTCCCAGTCAAGTTCAAGTTCTGGACTTCAGCCACTACTGCATGATGCCCAAGGACGGGGAGCTGCTAGAGGAGTGTGGAAGAGAGAAGACCAGCCTGCCATGGTGCCTGCAGGGCCTCTTCCTGGAGGCCCATCCCGGGGATGCGTTAGATGCAAGATGACAGAGCTGTCAGTGTGCTCCTGGGAGAAGATGCTCAGAATCCCAGAGAGATTCTGTATCTTGCTCTTCTAGTTTCAATGCTGACATCATATTGTTTTTCCCGGACTGCTGAGATGCATAAATTCGCTTTGCTAAGCTTGGTTTCAGGATGTTCTTGGTATCAAAATCTGAGACTTTATCATCTGTTGAAGGCCATGAATCATCAACATCAGGTTTGTTGCAAAGGCTGCTTAAGGAATCATCTCATTCGCTGGGTTGCTATTTTGAGAAGGAGTTTTAGGTGTCGCTTCTTCTTTATAGTCAGCAGTCAGTTGGCGATTAATATTAAAACCACTAGTAAGAGTGTATTCTTCTGCAGTGCATCCATACATATCTTGAGAAAAGACATCAGAACCTTGCTGAAGAAGACACCTGACCATATGTGGCGATTCATAATTTACAGCAAACATGAAGGTTCTTTTCAGCTTATCGACTGCAGGTATATTTGCCTCTTTCTTCGCTGGAAGTTCTGCCATTTGCTCTTTGTTTTCACTTACAGCAAGTAAAAGTACTGTGACATCATCTGTTGCTGGTGAGAATTTCTGAGGTGACTTCCAGCTCCTCCAGGGGTTCCATCCCGGTGTTTTCCAGTTTAACGAGCAGGTGCTGAGTTTCTCTGCTGCAAAGCGGCACTGACATGCTGGTAGATGTTTCACCACCAGAGGAAGTGAGTGTGCAGCCCTGGGCAGAGAGGTGCTGATCCGCGGTCTGGGCAGAGCAGGGATGACCTCCATGTGCAGCTGCTCAACTTTTTTCCCGGGAGGTGGTCCAGGGCACAGTCACTGAAGACACTGAAGACCGTGGTGTGGTAGCCATGTTTTCCACATGGAGTTCAAATGGCACTGGGTGATATACCGTCAGCTGAACTTTACACACACCTCCTTGGACCCACTGGAAGCCTGACGATGGACAGTTTGGTGAAGGGCGCCGGGGGCAGGAGGAGGCCATCTGGGAGGATGATGAGCACCACGGTCCTGGAGCACTTGGATGTCTAGTTCTCCAGGCTTTGCATCACATCTGTCTTTTCTCGCTGCTGTGGTCGCTGGAAGATTTTGATCTCCAGGTCAGGCCCACAAGCTCCCAAAGGCCCAGGCCTCACCCCCCCCCCCACCGCCGTTATTCCGCCCCAGGTCGCCTGTGACCCGGAAGGCAGGCGCGGAGCCGATGTCCAGGGTCCCGGGCAGCCTCCACTCGCCAGGCAGGCTCACCTGCCCAGTGGCAGCAGCGGAGGCGGCCGCCCCCTCTGGAGGCCATCTTCCTCTTCGGGGTGCTGGTCCAGGGGAACCCACTCCTGCCCAGCTTCCACACGCTCTGGACAGGCTCTGGCATCCTCCCGTCCATGCTCCATCTTTTTTCTTTTTTTTTTTTTTATTT